GGGGAAAGAGTTGAACAAGCAAGCAAACACACAAACACAGACATGATGAAACACACACAAGTAGTTGGGTGCACAAATGCGCACAAATATTCTCACACACATTTTCACACATTCCCGCACATGAAAGGCCCCCAAAGGCATCTGTTCTGGTTACAAGAAGGAAACGCTGTCTGAACACACGCTGATATAGACATAACATGTCTCGTTTTTCAAAAATCACACACACACACACACACACACCATCAACACTAAATAACATAAAACAAACAATAATTTACTGCACTGTATATTTTTGTATTATTATTGTGTTATTATTTTTAGATTTTGCAGTTCAAATAAACATCAACTAATAATCTGACTAAAAGTCTTATTTTCAATTTCATACTTTTGCTGTTTTTGCCGTTTAATTTGTTTGATTCAAAATGTTGCGTAACATCTCCAACAAATAAAGCAAATAACTCAGTATAACTGTTTACTGTATGTTTCTATTATCTACATTGTGCCTGTTGTGCGTGTTGACACATTTTATTTTCACTTTATAACATGATAAATGGCCAAAGCCTCTATGATAGAGCTATTTTCAAAGGAAGGCATACATTTTATTCAATACTAAAGCTTACTGTAATTCCAGCTGGTAACCTCTAAGGTCCCTTGGTTTCCTGCTCATGTCTTAAAGTACAAACTATGCTACATTCTTCAGTTTCCTCTGTGCTACTTACAGGCCTTTGGACGGACAGGGATGCCAGAGCCACTGGACGTGTGGAGGAGGGACTCCGTGGGACGTGCAGTGCAGCGCTTGTCTGCTCCCCCGTGGCACAGACCCCGGGTCCTGCAACGACACCGCTTTCTCCCCTATCTGAGGACTCACTGTCAAACAAGAAGCCCAAACACACACACACATTCATTCAGATACAAGAGCAGAGTTCAGTCACTGAGCGGAGTGTCAGTTTGTGCTCAAAGTGGATATGTATTTCTCGTTCCTCACCGTTGACAACAAGTGTGAGCGTGAGATTCTGGTAGAGGCCGTGCTCCTGGATTCGTACCAGGATGGTATACTTCCCAGCATCCTCCTCTGCAACGTCCCGGATCACCAGGGAATTCCCGTCCATGTGGTATCGGGAGCATTGCTCTGCCGCCACCGTGTCATCCTTCAGCCTGTCAGAAAAAAAATAGACTCCTGAGCAAACGTTTGGATTGGAAAGTGAAGAACACTTGTTTTAAAGCCAACCTCTGTGTGACTGTCAACATAAAGCAGAGTTTTAAGGGAGAGACCATATTGGAATAATAATACTAAGTTTGGTGCAGTGGCCCATTAAAGAGGAAATTCTAAACTCACAACTCACAAAGCGATGATTCACAGATACGAGTCTCTGATGTGAGGATCAATGTGACGTCTTACCAGATGACTTCAGGGGCAGGAAACGCTTTTAGTTTGGGAGAGATCCTGTAAGATTTCTGTCCAGCTTGAGCCTCCATCACAGATCCATGTCTGGGCTTCAGACGGATGAACGGACGATCTAAAGTTAGGGAAGCATTAATGTCAGATTCAATTGTCTGAGAGCCTGAGAGCCTCAGAATGAAAACTTGATTAATGAGTATATGAGTATATCTGTGGTTGAAAAACTTCTGTGTTGGGGAGTTTTAAGACAGAAAGACTCACCATAGACAGTAACAGTGACCTTTTGTTGTTTGGTCTTTTCCCCGCTCGTGACTCGACATGTGTAGAGGCCTCGGTCTGACCGCTGGAGTTTGGGAATGGTCAAGATACTGTAGAACAACATGTGTGTTCTGTGTTTCAGGAGCCTCTTGGTAAAGGAGCCGGCGTTGTTACTCTGAGGGTTGAGAGGAACAGAATTAATGCCGAAAGTTCACCTGCGAGTTTTTGTCATTAATTTTTTAAAAACAAGCAGAAGAGTTGGAATTTTAAAACCAGTTACATCATTTGACTGAATGTGACATCAAAATTGAAATTACAGGAGCAATATCTATTTAAGACTGGAATGTTTCTGTATAAATATTCTCTTATCTTACACAGATAAGTAATGGGGCATTAATGAGGTCAACTTGCGGATTATGTGACATTGGATCACAGTCACAGACATATGTTGTGTAAATGCCCCCAAAAAGGCAAACAAACAAGACTTGACGAGTGAATGTGAGAAACCCACAGACCATAAATATTACTGACTCAGTAAACAGTCTATTAGAAAGTACAAGGCTCTTTCCTTGCAATGATCACTGTCCACATATCCACAAGTATTTGACTCCAGTGAGGGTATAAATACATAATTTATTAAGTAATAATACAATCATTGGTTACAAGTAATGAATACCCAACAGAAAGTGGCGTAGAACTAATATTTCATTGAAGTGAAGCGATTGAAATTTAATGGGGAGTCACATCCAACAAAGGACAAAGGAAACCCCAGTACAACTCACATTCGAAACTCCATTTAAAGTTGAGCGCAGATATACTTACAAAGGAATACTTTTCCTGATTAAATGCAAATGAAGTAAAGTCTAGAGACTAATTGTGGCTCTGTTGTTTCCCAAATGCACTTTGTCAGTATTCGACAAGCACCTGGTCTCTACAGACTTTAGTGCAGCTCTGACCTTTCCGGGAAAGTCCCAGGTGATGTTGACTCTGGTGTTCAACTCCCCTGTGGCTGTGCAGTTTAACACCAGGCTCCTTCCCCTCAGAGCCTGCACAGGTCCGCTGCTGTTCAGATACACTTCCATGATGTTACTCACTGTGGGGAAGAGAGACCAAAACATAAAGGAGATGCATATATACATCAGTTTGTGATTTACATGCTAGGTACTGCTGCAGACTGCATGCGGACCTGGTCTGTGCACAAAGAATTTATGTGACTTGTATGTGACGCCATCGATGACGGTCTGGCAGAAGAAGAGGCCGGTGTAGTAGAGGGTGGGACTTCGGATGGTGAAGCCCTGCTTGCTGTTCCAGATGATGTTCCTCTGGTCAGGTCTCAGACTCTGGTTGGGAAACTGTGGGAGGAAAAGATCATCAAGTATTTCACTGCTGTTTGACTCAAAGAAGAAACTAAATGTCATATCTTAGTCTCAAATCCTTAAAACTGAGTCTTGCTTCTGCAAATGTTATGGAATGCAACCCTCTGTCTTGTATAAGTACTTTGAGTCCATCGCTATTTTTGTATTTTGTGTTTGTCTGATTATAACAATACCAAACTTACAAGCCCTTAGAGACGAGTCAAGATGGTTGAAAATAAAATGTCAAAAATGTGCCAGATTTTTAAAAATCAAAATCCATGAACTATTTCCTGGGAAGTCAAAGAAAATATTTTTGATAGTATTCACAAGAAAAGATTCCTGGATCCACCCCTTATCCGGATCGGTTCCAAAATGAAATGGCTGTTCCCTGACAAACAATCAAAATACAGAAACTTGAGTTAAAGAAGTTTCCAGAAGAAGCCGATTACGTTCTCACACTTTTGGTTTTATAATGTGCTTTCTTGGCAACCTTAACACGGATCCTCGTAACTTTGTTGTTTTCTTGGAGACAGCGTCAAGGAAATGTGACACAGTGGAAGCGTACCCACCCACTCTCAAGGGAACAGGTAGAGCCCTCCCTCCCCCTCCTGCATCCCCAGTGTGAATTGTCCGATATCCACCCCCCTCCCAGACCGTGGCAACTCCTCTGAGTTCCTCCACCCACACTCCTGCAAAGAAGACGCTGGTGGCGCCCTCAGTGCCCTCTCTGCCCCATCCTCAAAGGTGGAGCTGGTGGAGAACGAGTCAGGGGGGGCTCAGGATATGACAAACTTGACTCTCTTCGCATCCTGTTACTCCAGGATATGGACATTTTGAATGGAACCCCAGGTCGACCCCATCGTCCAGGACCTGCTGCTCACTTTCACAGCTATAGAGCAAGAGAGCAGAGCCTCCTGGGTATTGTTCCCGCTGAGAGGGGGTCATGTTAAAGATCCAAGCAAAGTGAAAAAATCCTTCCAGGAAAAAAACACTCCAGAGACAGTGACAACGAGTGAATTCCTGGTTCAGAGCGGCCAGCACAGGTTGGAGGAGGGAGTGGGAGGTGAGGGCGGAGGAGGGAGGCTATTTTTAGAGGAGAACATTTCCAGAAGTTGCAAGGAGATGGAAGCAAGACAAGAACACAGTTTTACACTTCCTGAATTCTAATTCAATAAAATTTCAAGTTCCTACATGTTTCCTCTTATTGCAGTTGTCCTCTTGGTTTTCAGTAATATTAGCAGCGTTGCTCTGTGGATGGCAAAATAGATATGAAATAGGTTGCCAAAAAATTTTACTCAGAGTCTGATGTTCCCTTATCAAACTTTTTCCTCTGTAACACCATGATGACAACGGTGTTTGTGGTTGGTGAAATTTCTCGCAGCTATTTGATGGTTTGACATGAAACTTAACACATATTCACGTACCCCTATGGATGATTTGTAATAACTGGTGATCCTCTGACTATTTAAACTAATATTGGGATACAAACTATAGGCTGAGGCAGACATGGATTTCATGATGGGAAATGTAGGATCTGGGATATTAAAACTTAATTGGATTGTCTGCTCCAGAGCCCTCTGCATGTTTGACAGCTACTCCATTGTAGTTACACCACAATAAGCTTCCTACAGTGACGAACAAGCCGTTATATTATGATTGAGGGGAACGGATGGTACTTTGATTTGTCAGGGGCCAACAGTAGCTGCCTTTGCTTCCTCCACCAGGCACAGCAGCTGTTTAAAGCATCAGTCAGAGGAAGCTGGCAGTCACGATTCTTACTACAAGAGATGAGATGGGAAGTGCTCCTGGCTGTGGGCCAACAGGGCACTGCAGACTCTGCGTCTTCCCTCCAGACAAGAAAGCAGAGCTGCTGTGGGCACCACTTGATGGGAAAACCCTTGTGAAGAAAGAACTTTGACCGTTTCATCGACGATGTGAACAAACAGACGAGATGCATTTCAACTTGTGAACCACATTGACCTAAAGACCTATACACTGACATATTAACATGTGCATTCAAACACACATGCATTCAACAAGCACTCTACATGATCCTCTTTGCACTTAGTGACTCTGTCTGCTCTCCCCCTCACTCAGCACTCAAGCACCAGCACTCACAAACATATCCGCACACACTTTCACACATATCCGCAGACGGACGCAAACAAACGGACACACACGCCACAGTGCAATGGCTGCCAAGATAAGAACAATGTGGCAATGGATCAGGAGAGGGAGAAATACGGGGCGGAGCATTGTGTGCAATTGGTGAGCCCCCCCATGGAACAAACTGGAATGTGCAGAGAATGTGTGTGAGGTGATTGTGCAGATACATGTAAGAAATAATGCAACAGACACACAAACTGTCACTGTCATCCATATTGTTTTTGCACTGACCTTGACCAGTGTGGTGGTGACATTGGGGTGTGTGACCCGACAGGGGACGACCAGCGGCTGCTTCTCCATCAGGTACAACACATCTGGGCTCAAACCCGGCTGCTCCACAAATGGCTGCTGGCTGTCTGAAACCCAAACACTGCGGTCAGGGACACATATGGTGCAGATGAAAAGATGATAATCAATGCATTAAAGTTTTGTCAGCACTGAAACATGTTTGGAGGTTTTCCTCTTAGGCTGTAAAGGTCAAATAACTTTCATCAATTAGTTTAGACAGTCTGTATGAGGCCTGAGAGACGAAACCCAGGTCAAAAAAAGATCAGACCACACCATCACTAGCTATATGACCTCCTTGACTGAGTGAGAAAATATGTTTTTCTCATCCACACACACAGAGGAAAGAAAACAATCAGCTGCTTCGATGCACAAACACAAACAAACACATACACTTGCAAGTATCAATCTCGGCAACAAACAAAAACAAACAGACACACACTCCCGAACACACACACCGACCTCCACACCCCTTTATTGAATACCCATTCAGCAGATGACTGCCTGTAGTCAACAATAAACACACAGATTGTTTAGAGGCAATCAAACGGCTTCTCTGTGCGTTCTCCTCCCAGCTAACAGTCCTGTGCCATTGAAAAGGTGTGGGTGTTGCTCGTTGTATTGTTTGTTACCGTAGGGTGTTATTCAAGGAAAGCAAATCTCTGAACATTTGAACAAAAGTACCCCAAGGACTAGTGGACTGAGGGCTTCCTTCTCTTGCTTTGATTCTTAATCGAGGACTCTGGGAGGGAGGCAACGTCTGACCAAGAGCTGCAGGCCAAGTCTGACGCTTAATGGACATGGCGACCTGAGCGATTGATGGCCCCCGAGGGTCCTGTTGGCCAAACAGTAGAGTGCCCTGTGACCCTGGCCATCGGCCCACCGCTCCACGCCCCGCGCAGCCCAGTCTGACCAGCGTCATCGTCCAGGACAGGGAGGAGCTGGCGGGGCAGACATTGTGCCTCCTCTGCCCCTGGATACCTCTGAGCCCCTGGCCTTCATCCTATCCCTCTCAACTCCTCACACACACACACACACACATCCACATACCTCCTCGTCGCCACCTTGTAGAGACACAGCGACATCCCCCTCCCTTCAAACCCTTCCCCTCCTCCCCCAAGCACAGGATGCTTCAAGCAAGGCTGAGCCGAGCAGATAAGGCTGATGCCCTGGGAAACTCTGCCCGGGCCTGAGCCTTTCAGCAGCTGGGCTATTCCTGGCCTGGAGGTAGCACGTAAATGAAAGTAAAAAAGGATTTAAATATAGACAAGAGGGAGGCTGAGAAAAGAGAGGCAGGGGAGGGAGGAGGGGAGTGAAACTGTGCCAGAGTCATCTAGAAGGATGTGTTGTTGGGACAAACAGTGTTTAGATATAATTGTCTCTCTGGCATTGGTCTGAATTTAGCACCCACCACGTCCTGTTTAACCTGGGGATGTAAACAATAAGCATGACCGGGTGAAGGAGTGAGACCGAGTGAGAGACGGCTACAGAGAGAGACAGAAAAGTTTGCAGTATTGTCTTACCTGTGACATATACATAAACGGAGGCCTGTTTTTGAGGTCGTTGCCGATATCTGCAGCGGAACAGGCCCGTGTCCTGAGGCCGGCTGCGGCTGAGCGTCAGGAGGCTGCAGTGATGCTGACCTGTCCTCCCACAGCGAGAAGCCTCCACTCTCACCTGGTCTCTGCTCACACCTGATGGGAACGCCCAGGTCAGCTCCCAGCGACCCCTGGTCCGCAGGCACACAAGGAATGGATTGCAATTACACTTAACATACAATAACATTCAGCTCACACCAGAGGAACGTCATCCCTTTATCTCATGTTCGTTTTATCATATGAAGGCTGAAGGTTTTTATGATTTTTGATTTGAGATTCATACTTCTATTAGACTTTTATTGTGTATTGTTTTCATTGTCATTGTCTTGAAAGGTGCCCATAAATAAAATGCATTATCAAAGCAGGAGGATGGAGGAATGAAGATTCAACATAATGTGTCCCAGAGAATTTCATTTCACTAAGAGGCCTCATAATGGCCTTTAAAAGAAAAATGTATCTCCTATGTTTTGGTTTCTTTTGAATTTGTGATGTCCCGTCGTAGGAGTCAAAAGAGTTCTGGATAAAATACGATCAGTATCTAGTTAAGGTGGAGTAAAAAACTCAACTGACCTGAAATATGATAATTGTAAAAGAAACATTTTAAATGGAAAAACTGAGACGAACTGAATCACAAGACTAAAAGAAGCAAAACCGTTGGAAAAATGCTAAAACGTGACTGATAATTCCGGACATTATCAATGATATAAAACTCTTAAGATTTGCAAATGTTTGCATTGTGACCGAAAAGGATAAACTGAACAGAAAACTTAGGTTTGGTTGCAATGAGTCTCGGTGATGAAACATTTACTCTGTAAATCTTAAGATGCTGAAAGTTTCATATGTTATTTTATATCTGTTGTGATGATGGTTGCATCAGTTTGGGATCAATACATCAATTTATCCATCTTACACTGAGATCTTTCTGGTGCCCACGTCCATCTACCTGAAACTCACCTACAGCTGAGCTGAAGTGTTTGGTTGGTGTCTTGGATCAGCTGAGGAGTTTTCACATCCAGGTTGGGGATGTTGTATTTCCCTTTTTGTTCTGTATCTGCAGACACAGAAGAAAAGAAGAGAATTCAAAAAAGCAAGCAAAATCAAATGCGAATGTGTTGAATCAGGTTTTTTAATAGTAATTATGAAACAAGGGTTTTTAAACACACATGTAGAACTTGTGAGTCCTGACAGGTCAGAGGTCAACGTCAGGTTATAATTCAGGGTCTTGGACAGAATATATGTATATATGGTGAAGGAGTAGAATTATGTTTGTTGCATCTTTTTAACTGGCAGCAATTCAACAGGTTTAATCCAAATCTAAATCAGTGCAGCTCAACATTAGACACATTTCTGAGGAAATCCTGGAGGACAAAATACTTTCCAGCTGATAAACAATTTGGACAGTTCCTGTAAACTCTGTCAACTACAAACTAAACCCAACTTTTGACTGACTGAAGAGCCTCAGTGAGTTCAGGTGCTGCAGCACGTCCTCCACCCAGGCCACAGTGTCTGTGACCCTCGCTCGGGCCACTTGACAGCTCGTGTGGAAATGCGTAAGCAGTGTCCCTCTTGTTTACCGAGCAAAAGGCATTTCTCCGCTCCATCGCTGAGGGTTTATTAATGAGAGATAAAGATGGCTGTCCGTCCGCCCTTCCTTCCTCTAAACAACAGCGGAAACATCATTCAGGGAAATCCGTCCTTCACTCTGACCGCTCATTATAAAGTTTACAAGCCCTGCTCAAAACACAACCATCCCTCTGCTCTGTGAGGAGTTCAATCACTTAGTGAGTTTATCACTAAAGTCCATTATTCCCATTCACTGTCAGCATCATTGTTCCCAGTGGACGAGCCATTGAGCAGATCTAGCATTACTCACACTACTAGCACTTCCTATACGGTTTCCTTGGATTTGACAGTGTGCAAGTGGGCAACACACACACACACACAC